GTAAAAAATGCGACATTTTTCCAAGCAACTTTTGCTATATTTTATTATTTTGTGATTACATGAGTACAATACATTAACCACAAATGATCATTTATATCATTTTCATATACAAAGTCCTCTGAAGATTGACTCTTTCAAGCATGAAAAAGTAAATAAATATCATGTACTGAGACTGGTAGCTATCATGCATTCCGATGACAATAAACGTCAAGTTCGTGAAGGGATACTTCTTTCATTGTACAACAAGATTCGAAAATTCGAAAACAAATTGGTGCATATAAGAGGAGGGGTTTTTACCGATTTCTGTTTTTGGTGCCCACGACACGAAAACAAATTAACGGGCTTCTGCATCTTCAGCAAATCTCATTGATTAACACGCGCTTTTGAAGGCTCTTATCGTGAGATATTCTACGAAACGGATCCATTGAGTTTTCTTTGAAAAGATTTATGAAACAAGACAGCAAATTTAACCTTTTTAGTCGAAATTCTCACTATGTTAATGGAAATACTTTAACCTGAATCGAAAACAAAAGTATGGTTAGGGTATTCCCGACGCGTCACGCATTACGTCACATCCAGCTATTTAAATCCGTTCAACTTTTACTCGTTCTTTAGACTGAATGCGCCATAGTTTAGACGTAAGAGGCGGCATTTAACTGCTACAATCTTGATTTATTTGCTTGGAAAGGCTTCGACGGCTATTGCAGAACAACAGATTCTTTACTGGAATAGTGAAGAAGCATAGGTAAGAGGGAAAGCATCTTTTCTTGTGTTATTTGATCAACATACTGAATAACTTTCTCTTTTCCTCTGAGTCATTATCTATTAGTTATATGCTTGAATGCATAACAAGCCTCGCTTCTGAAAGATCCGTTGAGATATTCATTATCTTAAATAAAAGCCCTCTACGTGCGCCTGCTGAATCCATGCTCCGACTCGCTCTATACATGCATTCGAAGCTCGCCTCTGATTATTTTCCAATAATTTATATCTATTTACATATAGCCTTTCACTGCATGGGTATATTTGGTTCCAATAAACTGTTAGGTTCGAAGCTTTTCCTTCATGAGCAACTAATGTGCATGAATAAGGTGAGATGGAAACAAATTAGCCTTTTCCAGTGGGTACTGAATGGTCTCAAAGTCATAATTAGAGCCAAGCGAAAGAAATTGTGATTATGAGCTGGTAAATTTACATTTCACTCACACGTTTCGGGTTTGCACTACCATAAAACGAACTTATTTTTTTAGGAAACACCTGCTTTTCTGAGAAAACAGGAAGTCGGGGCTATTTGATTTGCATAATTTCCTTTGGAACCCATCGGACTTTCCCCTTTGCTTGTAGATTGTATATTTTTGCGATGTTCGCCGTTCTAAAGATCATGTTTATCAAGAAATATTGTTATTTCATATTCCTTTCAAATAGCGACGCCATCTTTGTCGAACTGAGTTGACCGTTCTGAGAACAGGGTCATAAGTTAACGGTCTTGTATTTTTGGTCCGCCTATATTAAGAGAGAAAAAGTGCCTCGTTCAAATCAAAAGACAGAAAGCCACATCCTTTTATCACTATGTCTGTAGAATCTAGAATTATTTAATTTCTGATACACGGTGAATCCGCTCTTAATATCTGAAGAAGATATTATCTCAATATCATGCCATTTTCAAAAAGTGAACAACTCTTCAAACGTACTAGCATATTTTTCATGTCAGTCTGACATAGCACAAGGGTTGTTTGACTCCCCAGAAAACTTACATTCTTTACAAGCTGACCGCTCACTTCATGCGCTCATGTTGCTTAAAATTAAATTTCCTCTCTGAAGCTCGATTGTGCTGATAGTTTCGACTTGTAGTACCTACATATATTAGCAGTCACAATTTTTCAAGACTAAATCAGAGGAGATAAGATGAGAGGGATATTGACTCCTCCTAACATAAATTACGTAACTGTTTAGTTTCATTATTATACATTGTAGTCACCATCTGTCTTCTCATTGGCTAAACGCCCACAGTTAATTCTGGGAAACAGCGCAACCTACAGATTATTCACTAAATCTGTACCTAGAGATTAGTGAATAATCTGTAGGTTGCGTGCGCAATGCATGATTTCCGGTGGAGCAATGTCTAGTTCACGGACAGCGAATTAAGAATGGCTTCTCGATTCGCTTCATCGACCCAGCGAGAAATTGAGAAATTACTTGAAGATAAAGATTCGGAAAATACTAAAAGATCTACAGTTTTCTTCAATGATACTTTCTTTAGAAATGCATTTAACTCTTCTGCAATTGATTGTTTTATAAAAACGGTGAAAATTTGTTTACCACACAGTTGTACATTTTTAAGTTTTCGAAAATAAACTGTGTTCGCTGCAATAATGCGTTTGGCGTTATTTTCTTTAAAACAATGTATAATAAAACAGTTATTGGATTCGGTTTTTGTGATATCCGGAATAATCAAGGTCTCAGTTAGTGTTATCAGCATCAGCCTTCGGCTTCGGCTGATAACACTCACCTCGACCTTGATTATTCCGGATATCACAAAAAGCGAATCCAATAATTGTTTAAAATCGTGCTTTTCAAGCCCAATCACACGTTTATGCTTTTGAGAGACACTTCGGAAATGGTTTCAAAAAAATTCAGAAATCTTAAATCATAAAAACGCCACGTTTCTAGCGTAACATTAGAGAATACTTTAGAGGCCCCCTAGTAAACGTCTGCTTTTTTGTGCGTTTTAGTAAGGACGATGGTTGAAAGCAAACCTAACTAAGGGCGAAAATTACCTGACAGTAAATTAAACTAAGAAATATATGAATGGAGAAAGGAAAGGAGCGTTTCACCTACGTGAATTGTGTTCTTTATTAATTTTTTTAATTTTATAGCTGGTAGTTGATCCAAAACTGACTGTCAGCATAGCTATTATTCTTGAATTTTTTAAAACTGTCTAGTTAGTTAATTGGACAGTTTTAAAATCTAAAGATAAATAATAGCTTAATTGATTGAGCAATGTCGAATTACAAGTGACGAGTTATTTGCTTACTAAGTAAGAGGTATACATACTTAATCAATTTTGGAGATAAGTGGAATAAAGAATTCCTCCGACAGCCAATTCGGACGCGACTTACGGCCTCTTCCAATTTTGGATTTGGTTATTTCGAAATTGGACAAGCATGTGGTCCTATCATATATACAAGTAGAAGTAACACAGTTCACTAGCTCAAATCATGTACAAGAAGGGGACTAAATACAATTTTCTAAGAGGCCATCAAAATCATTTTCCATCTTTGTTATTTGTATCTTTCAAATTTGGATTACACAAATGTCTTTTTCTTTATCATCAGATCATGGCACTACAAGCTTCACCTTTAACGAAGAAACTTCGTGATTTTTCTGTAAAATATGTGAAGATTTCTGAAGAAACCTCTACTCGTGCCAGAACGTTGGTCAAAGAATACATTGAAGATCAGATCATCGCGTACATTCAAGAGAATTCCGAGATCAAGATTCTAAAACTAGAGTATACCGGCAGCTTTTACGAAGGTTTGAAGACTGAAGCTGCTGACGAGGCCGATATCATGGTTATTCTGAAAACATCAAGTTCAGGGATCGAGGTTATCCCATCCCGAGTGCCCGGGTACGTCCGTCTTAGAGCAAGAAACGCCCCGATGTTCAGCAAGTATACGAGTGAAGGTTCCATTGATGCTGAGAGCCTTCGAGATAGTTGGTTCCACAGCCTTGTTTGCCTGGCAGTGAATAAAATCAAACCTAAACCACCGTACTCTGGGGTTCGTCTGGTTGTGCGAAGCCACGGACCAGCCGTCCAGGTGGACATAATAAGGAATGGTTCTAAAGAAAAGCTGTTGTCAGTTGATCTCGTCCCCAGCTTCCAAGTCGGCGATAGCTGGTACGTGCCAAAGCCTTTTAAAGGAAACCGATATGCGTTAAAGAATGGGCTTCTCTGGAGAAAGACATTTTCACCAAAGGAGAAACGACTGCTGGCGTCGATGGACAGTGAAGACCATGGTTGTAGGCACGAACTCTTACGAATCGTGAAGACCATAATCAAGAGGCCTGTGACAGCTCTACCACTGGATTCATACCACTTGAAGACCGCCTTTATGCACTACATCAAGAAGGGAGGTCTGAACTGGATCAGCAGAGACGCGCTGGCGACACATTTCCTCGGATTTCTGGCAGAATTACAGATTCATATGGCTAGCAGAAATCTTCCCCACTGTTGGTTGCATGGGGTAAACGTTCTAGATGATTTTAAGGTAGAGGTAATGAAGCAAATGGAAAATCGTTTAAGAAGCATCCTGAACAGCGAAGTAAAGCTGAACAAGATACTCGAATAGCGCTCAGCACTCTGTCATCTCGTACTATGAATGCTATCTATCAAGTTATTGAGCTTTCGATGATCGTTTTAGGAAAAGGGCTTAATTGTGTAGAAGCTTGTTTTCAAGGTGTGCAGTCATTTTAAACCTATTAACTGATAATTATATTTGATTTAATTCTTTACTTTACGTTATAATAATGCAGTAATTAGAGTAGGCAGCATCCGTTAGAAATGCAAAGTATGGCAAATGGTCAAATATTTTAAATAACGTTGCCTGATTAGTAACTGATAATAAGCAACCGAAATTAATTTGTTGTATCTGTAGTAACGTGACGTAATCATTAGTTTGTGAGTACTGCGGAGTAAAATTGTAAGGTAACGTAGTTAATAGATTGTTTTAGTATTGTATTTTCCACTTTGTAGATGTTGTTTCTGGAATTAAAAAAAACAAAAATCAAATAATGTGCATTTTGGGACTAACAAATGTGACACGAAAGTATCCGGTTTCCATGTATAGTACACACGAGACGAAAACAAAACACCTTACGCAAATATTTTTCAGGCAGATACCTAAAGATATTCTTCGTAACAGACCAGTTGAGAGTTCTTTTGAAATGGCTTATTTAACGAGAAAGCAGACTGAGTCTACCTTTTTTTTCGCACAAATATTTGCAGTAATTGTCGCAATATTTTACTCTGGATCTCGGAACAAAAGTGCAATGCAGGGGATTTCCCGGCTTACCTTCCATCACTTCATACCCGTCTATTCATGTCTGTTCCACTTTGTCTTGTAGCCTATAATTTTGTTTTTCATCATTAATAGCAGATGCTTAACAGGGCTTGTGGAGGGGAAGTAGATTTTTAAGCGGCTTTAGCTGAGACTGTAAAACAAATCTCGCTGCAGCAATATATTGTGCTTTTGTAATTACTTTCAAGGAAGAAAATATCATTTTCCTGACAATCATATGTCTTTCTGAGAAAACCGAAAGTACTGTTTGATTTGCATAATTTTCCATGGGACTGGCACGCAGAGCCTGGTGACGTGCAAGCGCAAGTTTCCTCTTTTCTCGTATGTTACATATTTTTGCGATGTACTCCGTAACAAAAAAATCAGGTAAGCTATGGATCATTGTACTTTGATCAGTGGGAGCGACGACAAATTTCAGTCTTAATACACAGGGTTTTAGTGCCATGTAATTTTGGTTACGCCATGATTTTTGCAAAGCACGTACAAATATTATTGAGGTCAAAAGTAGCTGCACACCATCCTACGTATCTTATCATTCGAAGAGCCTAGAAACAGTCAATTCCTAATACAAGTTCAATTCGTTTTAATTATTCTAAGTGTAGATACAACCCTACGCCGCTGTTTCAAAAGTTACAAATAGCGTATATATCGAATTAACTGCCCTTCGACAGAAACTAAAGGGTAGCCATTGTTATCACCTTTGGTTAGAATTTCGGATTCTCGTATTGTGGTGGAATTAAAATTTATTTGATTAAAAAACATTCACAAGGAAAAACAGTACTAGAAGTTGCAATTTGAGAATCATGATGGTAGTTTGTCGGTGGGCATTCGCTCGCAAACTCAGGCGATTGTATTTGTAATCAATGGATGCCGAAGTCGTTGTTATCGTATTCTTTGGTCATCACCAATGGACAAACCCACGTTCCTTTCGCTATCGGCAAAGTGAAAAAAGCCCACCTCCTCAGCTGTAACTAGATCAATGAACGTTTTCCAGATTCAGTTTAGTAAATCATTAATATTGTCGTTTCTATTATGTAAATTTGTTCGATTTTGCTGACAGTTTCAACCACGGATGTCAAAACCAGCAGTAAAAACATTTAAATGCACCTATAGTGTAGAATTTAGAACGCGAAATAGAGATTGAAATCTTGCATAATTCAAAAGGGATTATAGTCTGCACAAACTCTCTTGCAACATAAGCAATGAAGAAGTCACTCGGTAGCAGTTATTTCAACGGAAATTGGCGGACAGTGTAAACACTGTGGTTAAATCTGTCATGCCTTCTCATATGATGATCTACAGCATTTCCTCCCAACTTCCCGCCTCGAATCTTCCAGCGTTTCTGTTGTTTTTTACTTAGAATCAAAAGCAGCTGATCTGCTAGTATTACCGCTAAGTTTCATCCTTTCGTCTCGTTAATAATTCCCACAACTTTTTTCTGATTAATCTATGAGTTTGTAAATAGTAAATCCAATCCATTGAATTTTTCTCTTTCTTAGCGTATTTCACTGATTTTCTATCGTGTATTTACTACCTTTGTTATTTGGTCTTTTATTTAGTTATTTTAGTGTGATATTTATGAAGCCTTGTACCTGAAAAACCCACGTAGGGAGCTGTAGGCAATTTGGCCGCTTCTTCCGTTGCTTGATTTTGACAGGAGGACTGTCAATGCACCGATAGCGGATGTCCGAGGTCAAACCATGGAGATTTAGGAAACATGATAACTAGTCAGTACAAACGTTACATTAGAGGCCCTACAAAAAGGAGATTTTGAAAGCGTGACATAGGGTCGCTTCAACCTGATCCACGTTTTCATATATTTTAGCGTAGAGACATGTATCATGTGAGAACAGACCAAAATGTTTCAGTTTGCAAATGAAGAACCTTTACTGTGGTGGGGTCTAAATAACAGTGCTAATGATGTCTTTAATAAAGTAAGGTATGTAAAGAAGGAAGTCTTGACTGGAGAAAAAAGGGAAAAATTCAATAATGATTACTGTTATTTGGGTACTGTAGTTCGTATACACGTTCACTCAGCTCCTGTAATTAAGTAAAAAGCACTACTAAATGCTAATACTTTTTCGATAATTGATAGCGTTTTCATCACTGGTGCATCAGATAATGGCACAGGCCGAGGAGAGAAGAGGAGACACATCAACGTTGACGAAGAAACTTCGCGACTTCTCCGTAAAGTACGTTAAGATTTCTGAAGAAGACATGACTCGTGCCAGAAAGTTGGTCAAGAAATACATTGAGGACAGGATCATAATGTACTGTCGGGAGAACTCTAAGATACAGATACTAAAACTGGAGTATACTGGCAGTTTTTACGAGAGGCTGAAGACTGAAGCCGCTGATGAAGTGGATATCATGGTGGTAATGAAAACGCAAAAGGAAGAAATTGAGGTTATAGAAACCGAAGTGCCCGGGTTTGTCCTTCTCATGGCAAGAGAAAGCTCGGTGCTACGTAAGTATGCGTGGGATAATGGATGTATTAGCCCCAAACGCATCCGAGATCTTTGGTTTAGTCATTTTCAGCAAGCAGTGAACTACATTCACGCTAAACCACCATTATCTGAAGTAAGTGTAGTTCTGCGCAACCACGGACCAGCTATCAAGTTAGACATTGAGAAAGACTTTTCAGCTGATCTCGTCCCTTGCTTCCAAGTCGAGGGTAATTGTTATGTACCCAAGCCTCTGAAAGGGAAAAGATTTGTGTCTTACCCAGAGCTTTTTTGGAGGCAGTCGTTTTCGGTGAAGGAGAAGCAAGTTCTGCAGTCGATGGACAGGAAAGACAATGGCTGCAGACACGAGCTTCTCCGAATCGTGAAGACCGTGGTGAAAAGACCGCAGACATCTTTACCACTGGATTCCTACTACTTGAAAACAGCCTTTCTGCACTACATTAAGAAACGTAAACGAGGCCTAGATTGGGTCAGCAGAGACGCTTTAGGGAAGCATTTCATCAACTTTCTAAAGACATTACAGATTCAAATGGAGAGAGGTAGTCTCCCCCACTATTGGGTATCTGGTTCAAATCTTCTAGAGGATTTTAAGGGAGAGGTGATCAAGCAGATGGCAAATCGTTTAAGAAAGATTCTGGAAAGCGAACAAAGGCTAAACCAAATTCTTGAATAGTTGGAAAACTTCGGCTGTCTTTTTCGCGCCATCAACGATGCCTACCATTCTAATAAACTCAAGCTTAATGTTTTTTGGTAACGGGCTAGTTGTAAACCAAACAAAAGATTTTTGGTAGAGATTTGACTCGCTGCTGACTCGCGTGCCACATTGCTTTTATATGTAAATAGAGTTATTTTCGCTTTTGTGAAACTCAGCCGAAAAGTGTTTATTTCCAACGTATGCAACTTTCGTTGCGTAGAGCGACAGACTGTTTAAACGGGACCGAAAAGTTCTGAAATTCAGCGCTCAGCGTGTAATTAACAATTATTCCACTCACGCTTGTTGGATATGAGATGATAGATAGCCAACGAGGCGCGTAGCGCCTCGTTGGCTATAATCATCTCATATCCAACAAGCGCGAGTGGAATAATTGTTTTATTTAAAACGTTAAATTAAATTATTAAATTTTATTAAATTTTTAGCTCCCTTTTAATTTTAAGCTGACAAGTACGCTTGCCATATTTGTAGATTATGGTATATTGGCTGATATACCATAATGGCTAAGCCAATAAAAAGTCTTGAATTGCATCATCCAATGATCTAGTTTTTAATAATGAATATTATCTAAAAGTGTTTATAAATTTTATTTATCTTGTACGTTGCTTTCCCGTACGAGGTTCCAGTGAAAATTCCAGCCTTCTCTGCCATCGGTTGTCTTCTAAGCACGACTGTTGCATGCCGTAAGCTCTGTTGGTTTCTCGAGAAATTTGTCGCCAAGTTGTCGCATCCTGTAACTTTTCCATCAAACTGGTGTGCTGTGGCAAAAAGAAAATTAAAGAAAACTCTCAACTTTTTTAGTCCATCAATTCTACTTGTTTAAGTTTTGTCTTTCGGATGATCCATTGGGGTGATTTATCGAACACCTGTGAGAAGAAAAAGCCGGCTACATTTGAAACAGCTACGAGATCAGGGAAAATTTTCCAAGGAATCGTCAATTCCATCTAAAATCGGCGACAAAATTGTTGACACATTGATCCTTTCAACCCACTATTACCTCAATTTTTTTTCTTTTGCCCTCGCTAAGTTAACCATTTGTTCCCCCCCCCCCCTCACAAAAATAATTGCTGTACCGTGATTGCATAAACTTTTAGCCAATATTGAGTGGGAGAGGGGGGTCTGTTAATGATTTAGAGTCCGATTGAAACAGGGCCGTTATGCTTCACATAAATAGCATTCTTCAAACATGATGTGTCAACTAATTTTGACGCTGATAGTAGGTCTTAAATCACCTTCAGAATAAATATCGCCCCGCTTAGGTTTTTGGCAGGAAATATTCCCTCAATTCCCTCGTTTAGTGAAACATTTCGTAATATAAATGTACTGCATATAACAAAGGAAAATATCTCTTACAGTTTTGATCCATGTGGTACTCATTTGTAATAGCGTCTCCTGGTTCTGCTCTGAACGAATACAATCCTGTCGGTGTGTTATTAATAGACATATGACCCCACCTGAAAGTGAGCCACTTTTATTTAAATTATTGGTAATTTAATACTTGAAAAGTTTTCCTCAGAAAAGTGTTTATCGCAAGTTAGTGAAAATGGAAAATACGACGTACCATTGACGTCCTTTTTTACCTTTTTTTAATGGTGAATTTGTTGCTTTGTTTTTTTTTTTGTTTTATTTGTTTAAAAAAAAAACAAAAATACAATATTTGAAATTGTTAAGAAAACTTTATTAGTGAAAATACTTACATGCTTTTTTATTCTTCCTGGCGGGCGCCGTGAAGTTATAATTCGCACCTTTATGTATGTTATATACGAAAATCGGTTTATGCATTCGGATAAATAATTATCAATCCTCACCGTTTACCGCCAAAATTTCTCCAAGACGACGATTGTCCACAAAATTCATGGGTATACTTCATTTTTTTTTTCAGTAAACTTTAACGAAGATCAAGGCCCCAGACTCTGGTGCGCGTCTGCACTCAAAAGACGTCACATGTCCTGTAATGGCAAGTCCATTAGCCTCCTCATCGTAGGTCAGCCTAACTCCTCCCTTGAGCGTACTGTCAGTGCATCACTGAGTGATTTTTGTCCATCCTAATCAATTGAATGCCAATCAATAATGGATTGTCATTCTTAAAATCAGCATATGAATGAAAAAGGACTTAAAACTTGAATGAATTCGATACGTATGTCCAACTGCTGGCATGTCACAGCATCCTAGGAAACTAGCAGTTAACTCCTCAGGCCGAATCGTGGAGACCAAGAAGAGGAAAACAATCATGAGTTTCAAATGGAACTTGGTCCACAGAGTGAGACTGACGAAATGTCAGAATATGAGGCGGATGACACGATACAGCCTTAGCAAGTGGCCAAATATGACATTGTCATGGAGCCTCACAGAAAAACAGGGAGAGAGGCGCGAGAATCTTTATCTGAAGAACCTACAAAAACCCAAAAATAGTGCAATGTTATCGAGGACAACAAAAACTTTCGAGCAAGTTCTAGGAACTAGTGAAGAAGCCATGAAGTATGATAAACATAAACAGAATGTGGCCAAGAACCCTAAATCAAGATATTAAATTGAACACTAGAAAATACATCTCCTTAAAGTACAAACTCTGACACTAAGGTATAGAAAAAAGCTTTCAATAACATCCAAATTTGGATAGAGTCTTTCAAATAATCAATGCAAAGAGGATATGACTTAAGGAGTGCATTGAAATTGCAGCTAAGAGGAAGCAAACGAAAACTGCTTCAGAGATGCTTAAACTCTGGAAGATTACAATGCATTTAATTTAACAGTGTAGTGTAAAAACACGAAATCAAGAATTAATCAAGATGTTAGTAACCTCTAAAGTAAATTCCCTGTTGTCGTTTAAGTAGTGGCTTGTATTTTTCTGCATAATTTTGAGTTGATTTTTGACATCATTTTACATACAGTTTCGGCATAAGAAGTTGGCAGAAATTAACAGCTTGGTCACTCAAGGAAAATTGATTTAATGCCCAATAACGTTGATAGAAGAAAAATAGCGAACTTAGTTGTTTTAAACGTTTCAAGCTGACGAGCCGAAACAAAAATCCAATCTACCATAAATGTAAATTATTGACAATTACAGGTAAGCGTCAGTTCAACTAAGTTTAGAATGTGACGCATATGAAATCACAATTACAAATGTAATAGAAAATCTGGCCGATTAAACCTTACAATTTGGTTTGAAAATTGCCTTGTCGTCTTTTTTCCTAACCTAGAAACAAATTAAAGAAGTGATAAATGATGTGCGGCCAAAATCTACGTTAGACATTTGCGACAGTCCAGGACAAATTACATCTTTTCTTGCAGAAACGTGTCATGCAGCATGCGCACGAGCAAGGAGAATCTATCATTTTATTATTTAAAAACACTACAAAATCAAAGTTTTCACTGCAAAATCAATAAGGAGAAATCTTCCAAAGAAAAATTTTGCTCAGGGTAAACAGCGATTCAATCTAAACACATCTACCAGAACAGTTCACAATGTTCATAGTGCAAATTCGCCATATTCATTCACTCAAACAAGAAGAGAAATGAGAGCTTTCGCTCACTCGGCATACTTACCGCGTGCTCCCCAATAACGAGCCCAAGACTTCAGTGATAGCATCCCACTGTTCAGTTAAGCATGATGGAGAGACTCTTTGTTGCACTACGAAAAGCCGCCATGTTGAATTGCATAGGAAAATTTTTCATTCTTCCCCCATGCATGAGTTCGAATACGAATGATCAAGCATTCAGTTGATTTACTATTAGGATGTGGCGGCGCACTTGTCAATTCTCCGGCGGAATGGCACCAAGATAGGGATTTGTTAGCAAAGTAAAATGATATTCCTATTACGTGGCTTACATAAACACTGCACGCTGTGGTAATATTCTCTTTCATTAGGAAGTAGTGTTTATGCGTCAATTGTCACGTACTGTCTGGTGAATTTCTAGTAAGCTTCTTGAAAAAAAATATTATTTGCAGAAAAATTTGAAAAATGTATGGACCTCTCTTCGTAACAGACACCTCCTTCATTGCGGTTTTAATTGGTACTATCGACAGACTACTGAATAGCGCTTCAGATTAAGTTGAGATTAGTTTATAGAACTTTCACGAGAAGGAGTAAGTGAATGAACTCTTTGAAACGTCTAGACTCTCAGCTCTCGTTTGTTAATTTTTCGTTCTTACAACTCCCACTCCCTCCCCCCTTTGTACCAGAGTAGGGGTGTGAGTCTGCACATACTTGAGGGATAAATATTATCTCTATTACGGTTCATGGCCTCATAAAATCTGGAGCTACAATAAATTATTTTTTATTTTTCCCGTCTGATAACATTCTAAATTGCTATCACAAGTTGTTGCTGTGTTTTGTGTTCAAAATTCTTCTTAAGTTAAAATCGTCCAACCTATTCCGAGCCGAGGCTTATCTCTTATCTTGCACAAAACAAGCAGTCATTTGTCGCTGCATGCCTTCACAACCAACCCTTGCTTCGCCATTGTTCATTTTGAGCTAATCACCATTAAGACATGTCGGACAATACCAAATCATTAATATATTCCGCCTTGCAAACTCGTTTGTTTTTTTCGTGGTCTGTTGCAATTCAATCGGCCTCTTCTTAATACGAATGCTCTGAATTTGGATCGCCAGTTTCCACAAAGAAATCTTTTGCTCTGGTTGGAAATGTTTTGAGCGGGTTCCTAGCGACTTCCCCCTAAACTGATATTTGTTTGTGCAGGCTTGCAACGCCTCGTCTTTTTTATCTTCCCGCCAGCATTTGAGCGCACTGTTGAGCACAGATCCTTTTCTGCAGAACGATACAAACACCTCATTTCATTGTTTAACATATGATAATAGGCGAGTTTCGCTATTTTTAAAAATGAGAGTAAGGAGCCAAACACACTCACACACACACACACACACGCACGCACGCACGCACACACACACACTCAAACTCTTTGACAGTCAATATTCTATATTTTTCCATTTATAATCCTCTGTTGCCAACCAATGGTGCCCACTCCATTCCTCCTGAGAAACTGCGGGATACCGTCCATTCCCTCCCCCTCCCCCCACCCCCCCTCTCAATAGACCTCAGGTAACGATTTTTCATAATTGTTCGAGTGTTTGTTCTAGACAGTACCTTCCATGGAACGTGCGTGTAACCACCCAGAAACTGATGGTAAACGAGGACAGAATTGACTTGAAAACTTTAACTAAGCATTCAGTATGTAACTGCAAAACCTTTTGTAACAAACACTATGCACGTAGAATCGGTCAATAAATAAACGTCAGTGATGATATTTT